CGAGAACGGGAAGCGAGAGAAGATATCGTTAAGGTCTCTTCTCGTCTGTGTGTTGTTAACTTGGCGCCACCAATCGGGGCAAAATAATAGAAGAGGAAGAAAGTGTGTGAGAGAAAGAGAGAGAAAGAGAGATAGAGGGAGAGATTAAAGATAGAAAGTATAAAAAGAAGGAAATAATTGTTCGAAGAGAAGGCCAGGGATAGATAGAACTGGACTAATTATCTTAGTCCGGCATCCCCCCTATTGTGTTTCACTTTCTATGATGAACTTTCTTTTTTTTTTTCTTTTTTTTTTTTCTTTATTTTTTGATTATCGTCGTCGTCGTCGTCGTCTTCTTCTCTTCATAGTAGTTCATAGTTGTCCTTGCATAACGAATCCCAATTCCCTTTGCAATTAAGCAGTTAGGGTGCACCAACCGACACTCTCGAATTTTTCTTCTTTTCTTTTTTTTTTTTTTTCGTTTACGGTACAAGTATCACTACCCTCACCCCCCATCCACACCCTCTGTCCCATCCATCCCTGGACGGGCCTCCATCATGTTGAACGCGTTACAACGTCGACGGTGGTGCTTCGTTAGAAGTACCATCCCCAAAAAAAAAGACCAGAGAGAGAGAGAGAGAGAGAGAGAGAGAGAGAGAGAGAGAGAGAGAGAGATAAAGAAAATGAAAGATAAAGAAAATGAAAGATAAAAAGGATGCAGTTAAACCGTACGGAGAAATTCCAAGAGTGAGAAAGAGAGAGAGAGAGAGAGAGAGAGAGAGAGAGAGAGAGAGAGAGAGAGAGAGAGAGAGAGAGAGGGATAGAGAGGGTGAAGAGGAGTGAGAAAGTGAAAGAGAAAGAGAAAGTGTCCAAAAAGTGAGATAGGGGAATAGAGGGAAATATAGCGTCTTAGGCTAACATCAAAAGCTCTTCCAGGGTGGTGAGCTGCGGTCAGGGCTCCTACGTTCTAGTCAGTCCACCCCTGTATATTCATAGCTTGGAAAGGTCTTCTCTTTCTCTGTCTTTCATACACGCATCCACCCACCCAACTGCCCATACACAGATACATACGCATACATATATAAATATATATACACAAACATAAACTTCAATGTCTCTCTTTTTCTCCCCTATTTCTCTCTTTCGCTCGGCTTTAGGTAAAAATAGCGGCTTTCGTTAAAGGTGAACGAACGAAATGGCGAGTTACACGTGCGTGCAAGCGAGAAGAAGCCGGCTGGTGGTCGGATCTGGTATAAGACTTAGAAGATAGTAGTAGAGTAGTAGTTAGTAGTTAGTAGTAGTAGTTAGTAGTAGTAGTTAGTAGATAGTAGTAGTAGTAGTAGTAGAGGAAGCGTAGTAGGAGGGAAAGAAGGGTTAAAAGGGTTAGAGAAATAATGGGTAGTGCTACCCAGTAATAGTAGTAGTCGTAGTAGTAGTGCTGGTAGTAGCGATAGTAGTAGTAGTAGTAGTTGTAGTTGGTGATGTGTAGGTATTATGGATAGAAAGGGTTTCGACGAGCTTGCGGGTTACGACACTGATCGTGGGAGGTGGAATGGAAGTTCTCCTCTTCCTCCTGTTCCTCCTCATCCTCCTCTTCCTCTGAGTTGGCGGGCGCGCGTGTTCCTACGAAGAGTGGTGGCGGCGGCGGTCGAGCTGAAGGAGTAGAAGAGAGAGGGAAGAGAGAGAAAGAAAGAGAAGGCGATATCAGCGTTACCCCTGCTCGTCGTTTCAGCTTCCCTTTTCTGTCTCCTCCTTTTCTTCCATCTCTCTCTTTCTCTCTCTTTCTCTTTCTCTCATATATATATATATATATATATATAGTCTAGGCTCCCACCAAGCAAATGCCGCCGAAAATTCCCAAAAGCACGCGAAACAAAGGCTTCCTCTCCTCTTCCATCTCTACTCCTCCTCTTCGGAGTCTCTACCCTTATTCGTACTCACTCGTTCTCTCTCTCTCTCTCTCTCTCTCTCTCTCTCTCTCTCTCTCTCTCTCTCTCTCTCTCTCTTTCTCTCTTTCTTTCTTCCTCTCACATTCGCAGGCCTCGTGTAGCACGTGTCCGCGCGGCAAAGTTCGCTTCGACGAGCAAACCAGACCTCTGCCGCTCTTTTTCTACGGTGCGGTAGACACGAATTGTTGTATTCTGTTCTGCTCAGTTCTGTACTGTACTGTTCTGTTCTGTTCTGTTCTGTACGGTTTTGTTTTGTTCTGTTCTGTTCTCTTCTGTTGTTACTTGCCACGTTAATTTTGTACATAAATATGGTTATGTAACGTTGTCCTCGTCATCATCATCATCGTCATCATCATCATCGTCATCATCATCATCATTTTCATCGTCATCATCGTAATGCTGATAGTACTAGAGTTGTCACTGTTTACTGGTATTATTGTTACTGCTGCTGCTGCTGTTGGTGATGGTGGTGGTGGTAGTGCTAGTGATAGTGCTGGGAGGGAGTGATGGTGTCTCTACTCGATGAGAGTTTTCGGCTTTGCCATCCCCGCGAAAGTGCATCATCGTTAGTCGTCTAGTCTGTGTTCTCTCATCTTCCTCACCCTCTTTCTCTCTCTCTCTCTCTCTCTTTCTCCTGCTCCTCCCTACTTTCTCTCTCTCTCTCTCTCTTTCTCTATATCTATCTATTCTATCTGTCTACCTCGGAAGAATGCACCTCGAGGCGACGTTTAGCGAACTCTGCGGATTTTGGGTATACTCTCCTCAATGGTTCTTCTATCATCGAGTGGTAGGACTATCCAACTTCTTTCCCTCCCTTCAACCATTCCTTTCTCTTTCTCAATCTCTCTCTCTCTCCCCCTCTCTCTCTTTCATTCTTTCTATCTCTTGTTTTATGCGTCGCATTTTCTCTATTCACACTAGTTTCGCGTGAGAGTTCCGACGTTCGAGACGAAGGAAAATAATAAAAACGATATTCTTACGTAAGTGAGATAGCTCTAAAGAAAAAAAAAAAATCAATAAATAAATAAATAAATAAATAAATAAATAAATAAATAAATACAGCGAGGGATATTATTTATTCATATAAATAAATATATAAATAATAATAATAAATTCGTTCTAAATCATGATATACGATAGATATATAAAGATAAGACAAAGAATTTAGCGTATATTAATGTTTTAAAGGATAAATTACGATATAGCCATATTAATACGATATATCATTATCACGAGGAATATATTATCTAAATAAACGATTACGCGTCGCGATCGATGAAATTATTAATATTAAAATTATATGTAAAATGGAGAAAGAGAGAGAGAGAGTGAGAGAGAGAGAGAGAGAGAGAGAGAGAAGAGGGTGGTTAGAGGTCATTAAACATAAAAATATTTTGAAAAATTTATTGGAAGAGAAGAAAGATATATGTTTTAAAGAAGAAGGAGGAGGAGGAGAGAAAAAAAAAGAATAGAATAGGGGGAGAAAAGAAAAAAAAGTAACAGTGCAAAAAAAATAGAGAGAAAGAGACAATGAGAGAGAGAGAGAGAGAGAGAGAGAGAGAGAGAGAGAGAGAGAGAGAGAGAGAGAGAGAGAGAGAGCATCACGGAGAAAGAGAAAGTTTAGATAGAGGAGAGTGAGAGTGGTGAGGGAGTAAGAAAGAAAAAGAGAAAGCGAGAGCATGATAGAAAGAGATAGAAGGAGAGAGAGATGAGGAGAGTAAAAGAGGGTGAGAGGGGAGAGTCAGGATTGATCCGAGGCAACAACGTCGGCGCGTTTCCTTCAAGGTTAGCCAAAAGCCCTCCTCGCGGCGCGCTGAGTGGGTCGGCGCGTTGAAAAATCGATAGCTACGAAAGTGAGAGTCTCTCGGCCGTTTCACCCTCCTTTTTGTTCTTTCCGCTTGACGTTCTTTCTCTCTCTTTCTTTCTCATACACAGAAAAACACGCACAAATACTTTCTCTCTGTCTCTGTCTCTGTCTCTCTCTCTATCGTATAAAGAGGAATATACACCCACACTCTCTCTCTCTCTCTCTCTCTCTCTCTCTCTCTCTCTCTCTCTCTCTTTCTCTTTCTGTTTCCTTCTTACTTCTGCAGTTTGGTTCATTCATATCGCACAAAGAGAGACCACCGCTACGATGTCTTCTTTCGTTTCTCTCTCATCGTGCACGTGATTCCCTCAACACGCGTGATATCGCTGTGCACAGAAAGAGAGAGAGAGAGAGACAGATGCGTAGTTTTCTCTCTCTTTCTCTCTTTCTCTCCCTCTCTTTTTCTGTCTTCTCTCTTCTGTTACTCTTTCATAGGCGCCGTAATGACGCGCCTTTTGCTCCCTCTTTCTCTTTCTTTTTTTTTTCTTCTTCTTCATCTTCTTTTCCCTCTCCCTCTCTCTCTCTCTCTCTCTCTCTCTCTCTCATTCTCTTTTTTTCTTTCTTTCTTTCTTTTTTCCCTCTTAACGTTTCGTTTTGACTAGAGACCACTTCTCTTAGCAATCGTTCGCCCTCTTTTGTGAATTTTAAACGGTCTTTCTTTCGAATATATGTACATACATGCAATACATTAACTTAACGAGATAAAAGATAGAGAAAGAGATTGATAGTGAGTGAGGGTGGGAGAGGGAGGGAGAGGAAGACCCCTTTTGGTTTTATTTGATTTGAATTTATACAAATGGATTTATCGAAAATATCATTGATATATATATATATATATATATATATATATATGTATATATGTATATGTATATGTATATATACGTACTTTTAATGTTTGAAAATCGTGGCTCGCATTTTTGCGGTACGACACGCGCATGCGTAATAATTTTATACTATCGATAATTTTATACTGTACGAGATATATTTTCTCATATTCAAGATATATCACTGTCATTATCGTGTTGTAATATTATTTGGAAAAATACCTGATAACGTCATTGTTATTATATTTTTATTATCATATAAATATATTTATATATATATACATATGTATATATATACGTATGTATATATCCGAAAGACATTTGAGATGATGGATTATTTGATTAATCTTTTTTTTTGTTTTTCTTTCTTTTTTATTACAGTAGCGGTGCTGGTGCTAAAGTCATTGTAAGCAACATCCCAGCGAACGTTAAATTGGACGAATTGGAACTGCTTCTATTGAATTTCGGACAGGTCCAAAACGTAGAAAAGGTGTCCTCACGTGATCCCAATACATTGTCCTACCTCGTCAGCTATGAGACGCTAGAACAGGCACAGCAGTGAGTATATCATTAGAAATTTTATATTTGTATTTTGCGTTACATTAAATTTCTTTAGAATGGTTACGACGTTATAAACCCTCTTCCTCACCCTTTCCCCCCTCCCCACACTTATCATCTCCTCGTGATTCGTGATTTCATTTATTTACTTATTTATTTATTTTTCTTCTTAATTCAAAAGCTTAATCGGAGTTTTGTAAATTGTATGTTAAAGAGATACAAAAAGAAAAAAAAAAAAAAAAAAGAAAAAATTTAATCTTCCATTTGTATTTCTTTTTTTTTTTTACGATCGATCATTTTACAATCTTGATATGTAGATGAATTAATTATATTATAAGAAAAAAAGCGAAGACAAATTAAAAAAAAAAAAAGACATTAAACTTTAAATAAAATTACATACCGTTTTATATAAATTTAGGGGTTATTTTATTTTTTTGTTTTTATTTATTTTATGCTTTATTTATATTTCATAAATTTATATAATTTATATAAGTATATTTTATTAGAATTGTATTATCATTCTATATATATATATATATATATATATATGTGCATGAAAATTGCATCTGTGATAAGTTCTTGTAACCCCCAACCGTCTACTTTTTAACTTTTACATTATTTAAATGTTAAAATTAAAATTCTTTTTATATATCATTCTTATTTTCATTCTCGTAAGAATTAATTTAATCGAAGAGAAAATATTCGAGATATAATAAAAAAAAAAATTATTTAAGGCACAATAACGTTCGTAGAAATTAATTAATTTTCGCATTCTTTACGATATAGTCATTTTTGCGTATATATATATCTCTACAGTATACATGACAAAAATTGATGGCGTTGGGGTGGGTAGAGGGGAGGAGACAGAGAGAGAGAGGAATTTTTTAATATGAATGGGTGCTTGTACGCATCGAAAAAATATAAAAATTAATTTTCTATTAAAGTTTCTATTTTTTTTTTTTTTCTTTTTCCGCGTTACAACGCAACTAACAACAATGTTTCGATAACGTTCTTAATTAGAAAATTTTCTTCGTAATTAGTTCATTTCACATTTGTCCGTTCCGTCGAAGGAATAGATTTGCGATAAGGAAAAAAAAAAAAAAAAGGAAAAAAAAAGAAAAAATTCTCTGATAATTCGAAAACTATGACAAATAGAATACCTACGTCATGTTCCAATTTTTCTCTCTCTCTCTCTTTATTTTATCCTTTGGACGCGTCGAAGCAACAACCCGTTTTCAAAGTTTTATCCTCTCAAACCCCCGCAATTATTCTGATAAAACAATGTCTGCCCCCCCCCCCATTCCTCCCCACCCCCTCTCCTTACCTTTGTACGTACAAATACGAGAAAATCATTTTTTGTTTTGTTTTTGTTTTTGTTTTCTTCCTTTCCTCTCATCTAATGGAAGGATTTTGGGGATGATGGCGGAGAAGGGATGGACAATAAAATATCGTAATATTTGTTTTCGTTTTGTCCTTTACAGGGCTGTGAATCAATTTAATGGCTATGAATACGAGGGTAACTCGTTAAAGGTGGAAATGTCTTCGGCTGAAAGCCGACGAAGAGGCCGCAGCCAACGCGGCGGCGTTGCATTTTCCGGTCTTCCGGGATCCGGCCGACAAACGGACTTCCCTCTTCGTATTTTAGTACAATCGGACATGGTCGGCGCAATAATCGGCCGACAGGGTTCAACGATACGTCATATCACTCAGATGACGCGTGCTAGGGTCGACGTACACCGTAAAGACAATGTAGGCTCTGTCGAGAAGGCAATAACGATTTATGGTAATCCAGAAAATTGTACGAACGCATGCAAGAAGATCTTAGAGGTTATGCAACAGGAGGCAATGAACACGAACAAGGGGTGAGTTAACAAAAATAAAAATAAATGGAAAAATTAAAAAAGAAAAAGGAAAAACGAGAGAAAGAATTTTCTTTTCTTTCATTCTTCCCTTTTTTTTTTTTATATCTATAAAATGTAAATCACGATTTGATGTGTTAATAACTCTTATAGATGCTTTATTATTATTATTATTATTGTTGTTGTTGTTGTTGTTGTTGTTATTATTTGTTTATTCTTTTTTGCAGAGAGATTATTCTAAAGATTTTGGCACACAATAATCTTATCGGACGTATCATCGGTAAAGGTGGTAACACGATCAAAAGGATCATGCAGGATACCGACACTAAAATAACAGTTAGCAGTATAAATGATATCAACAGTTTTAATCTCGAGCGCATTATCACGGTTAAGGGTACTATTGAGAATATGAGCAAAGCCGAATCAATGATATCGAGCAAATTACGTCAGAGTTACGAGAATGACTTACAGGCCATGGCGGTAAGTAAATATTTGATATATTTAAGGATAAAGAAAGAGGAAAGAGGGAAGAAAAAAAAAAAGAGAGAAGAAAATTAGAAAAGAGAGATAAGGAGGAGGGGAAAAAGAAAGAAGATGAAAAAAGAAATTAATATACATAAAAATAATAAAAAATATATTTACCCGATATTTTTATACAAATGATAAAAAATCAATTACGATTGTTAAAATAAAAATGTCTCTGATTATATGTATCTCTATATGTGTATGTGTATTTATGTAACGAATTTTGTTCGCGCAGCCTCAAAGCATGATGTTCCCCGGTTTGCATCCCATGGCTATGATGTCAACCGCTGGCATGGGATATAGCTCGCGTGGAACAGCCCTTTATGGCTCTGGTCCCGCCCCATATCCCTACCAAGGGAGCTTGCCGACCCAGGGCGTACCCGCTGGTGATACACAGGAAACTACCTTCCTCTACATTCCTAATAGTAGTGTCGGTGCTATTATTGGTACTAAGGGTTCTCATATAAGAAATATCATAAGGTTTTCCGGTGCCAGCGTTAAAATTGCACCGCTCGAACAAGACAAACCGGCGGAGCAACAAACTGAAAGGAAAGTCACCATTGTCGGATCACCGGAATCACAATGGAAGGTAAAAAAATAAGAACTTAAAAAAAGAAAAAAAGTAAAAATAATAATAATTAAACAATTAATTGTTGTAATAATTAAATAATTAATAGTTTTCAATTTATACCTTCAATGTTTTACTTACTAATTTATTTTATTTTATTTTATTTTATTTTGTTTTGTTTTATTTGTCGTTTTTTCTAAATTTATGAACGAGCCTTCATTGGCTCATCGCAAGCGGCGTCGGTCTCGCAATACGAAGATCGTGAGTTCAAATCCCCCCACATTTTTTCTCTCTCGTATTTCTTGGATTATATATATATATATAGTCTTTTTTATGAGAAAGAAAAAACAAAAAAGAACTCGCGAGTTTCGATCTATTCCGAAGACTGTAAAAAAAAGGCACGTTTGCGTTTTTTACGACGTTGATAATTATTGTTGTGCGCGTGTATGTATATATATATATATATATATATGTATGTATATGTGTTTGTCGTTATATATATTATTTATTATTACATTATTATCCTACTCGTTTGGGCCTATGCCGTTTTACGTAAGCATAGGACTTGATTTAGTAGGTAGATCAAAAAACTATAAAAAAGGGTCCCGTACCGATTAACGCCTTTTTAATTAAAATAATAAAAAAAACTGTGTCATTCGGTCCCGTTTAACCCTTTAACATCTCATTCTTTTTTTAATTCTTTTCTAACGTTCTTGATTTAAAAAAAAAAAATAAATAAAAAATAAAAAAAAACGAGATAAAAAGAAAATCATAATATTTATTTCATTAGGCCCAGTACTTGATTTTTGAAAAGATGCGGGAGGAGGGCTTCGTTGCTGGTACAGAGGATGTTAGACTGACGATAGAAATTTTAGTACCAAGCGCTCAGGTAGGCCGAATCATCGGTAAAGGCGGTCAAAACGTTAGGGAGCTTCAACGTGCAACTGGAAGCGTCATCAAGCTATCGGAACAACAAGCCACGCCTCCCTCGGCCGACGAGGAAACCACCGTCCATATCATTGGGCCCTTCTTCTCCGTTCAGGTAAATTTATTGCGTAGTTTCGAAGAACATATTTGGGACTTTTCGTCACGAGCTAAAAAGAGTCACGCTCTCTCTTTCTCTCACATCGCTTTTTCTTATATAACGAAAGATAATATATAACGTTGTGCTCTCATCGCAAAAAAGATTTTTATTTGAGGAAAAAAAAAAAAAAAAGAAAAAAAAATAAGACAAGTTAAATAGAAAAGACATATTCTTTTTCTCTCTCTCTCTCTCTCTCTCGTTCTTCCTTTGTCGAATATATTTTGAAGTTAGGAATTTTTCAGTAATAGAGAAAGTAATTTTTATATATTAGTTGATATATATATATTTTTTTTTCCTTTTTTTTTTTTTTTAAGTTACAATATTACATTCTTCAATATATATGAACGATATGAGAGATGATCTTCCTTGCATATAACGAGATGTTATATTAAATCGAATCGTATTTAGATTATAGAGTTCAAACTTACGTTGGAGATTCAACGACGTATCATTTTTTTTTTTTTTTTCTGAAAAATCAATTAAGAAAAGGTAAAAAGAAGAAAAAAAATATATTAAATTAATTATATAATTGTGATATCACGAAAATTATTGATAACATTGAATTAGATCCTTTGCTAAGATCTACGTGCTGTTCGATGTTAAATCGAATCGTCAGATCATTTTTTCTTTTTTTTTTCTTTTTTTTTTTCTTTTTGTGGAAGAAAAAAATATTCAATTTTCCAAAAGACCAGATCGTAACATTGTTTCTTTTCATTTTCGTTTAAGCGATATAACAAATGTTTCATCCCGTTCAATTCAATCGGACTCCTTATTTAATATTCATTTTGATTTCGATTATTATTTACAGTCTGCCCAAAGGAGAATTCGTTCAATGGTGTTGCAATCTGGTGCACCCGGTGGAGCGGGAGGTGTAGGCTCACGCGCTGGTCGTGGTAGCAGCCAAGAAGGTGGTTCTCGTTCCCGAAGAGACGGTAGTGCAACGTCTCAACAAGGAACTGTTGTTGCATCTCAACCGCAATCACAATCGTCATCCCAGCAGCAACAAACGACGTCCTCTACCTCGCCGTCAAGTCAACAACAACAACAACAGCAGCAGCAACAGCAACAGCAACCATCACCGCCACAGCAGCAACAGCAACAACAACAGCCACAACAACAACCGTCATCTCAGAATCAGTAACCTCGATGAAAAAAAAAGAACAAAAAAAAAAAGAAAAGAAAAAAAAAACAAAGAAAAAACAACAACAACAACAACAACAACAAGAAACAATTTGTTCGATGTCGCCGCGACCAACAGCAACGCTTCGTATAAAAATCCATTTTTTTTTTTCGTCGGGGTGGTGGGGACTCGTCTCTCATCGAGAGGCTGCGTAAAAAACCCCTCTCGCGGAGATACGTACCCTTCGAGATGATAATGATGATGATTCATATAAGGAAAGAGATAGTAAGACTAAGGAAGAGATTAAGATAAGGAGAGAGCGAGAGAGAAGAAGAGAGAGTGTGAGAGAGAGTGAGAGAGAGAGTGAAAAAGACGGGTAATAAAAGATGTAACGATGAAGGAAGATAGAGCGATGAAGAGATTGAGAGAGAGAGAGAGAGAGAGAGAGAGAGAGAGAGAGAGAGAGAGAGAGAGAGAGAGAGAGTGAGAGAGAGAGAGAGAGAAAGTGGAGGAGAATAGTGCGGGCTCTTATAGCGATGTACAGAGAGAAGAAATTACGGAAGATAACGAATATTTCTTTCCAAAATAAATGATATTAAATTGAACTGAACTAAAAAAAAAAAACAAAAAAAAACAAAAAAAAAAATACAAAAAAAAACAAAAATAAACCAAAAAAAGACAAAAAAAAACGTTTTTTTTTTTCTTTTTTTTTTTTTCTTTTTTTTTTTTTTTTTTTTTTTTTTTTTAAATAAAAAAATGTGTATACACGGAAAAAAACATAAACCAAAAATATCATTCAGCAGGAACCAATAAGAGTACTTTTAACCCTGTCGTTTTCGGTACTGATTTTTTTTTCTTTTTTTTACCCTCTCCTTATTATCAAAATATTACCTATGATTATTCTTTTTTCTTGTCTTTTTTCTTTTTTCTTCTTTTTTTTTTTTTTTTTTTTTTTTTTTTCTTCGATATGTCAACGTTTTACGAAGGATATATAAATAAATAAATTTGTATAATCCTCTCTCTATTTGCGTGTTGTTTTGTTCAATGATAAAAATGGTCATTCGATGATTCTTCTTCGAGGTGTGGTCCTATCAGAAAGGACAGACAGACAGGAGAGTATTAGAAAGAGATAGAGAGAGAGAGAGAGAATTAGATGGTGCGTTTAATTTCAAAAGAAAAAAAAAAGGATAAAAAATTCCTTGTAAGCTGCTAATAATTCCGTGCTCGTATATGTATTCGTGCCTTTTTTTTTTTTTTTTTTTTTTTTCCCAATATCCGTTGATTCTATCAATTTCGATGATTTCACGTACATCAAAATTTTCTCTTTAGGCATTGATGAAACAACGACAAGATTAATAAATATAATCTCGTCAGCGTTAACAGTGATCTTTTGGTTTCCTTTTGGACGTTGCAGTTTTTAAATGACCAGAGATTGAAGAAAATGCAAGCTTAAGAAAGAAAGAAAGAAAGAAAGAAAGATAAAAAGATATATAAAATGCTTTGGAGAAAAAGTTAGCGATAACAATCTGATCATAATAATAATAATAATAATAATAATAATAATAATATAATAATAATAATAATAATAATATTTAATATTGTAATAATAGACATTGTTAATTCGTTATGTTCCGTCTCTTCTGCGCATCGCGAGTCCAACGAAGCAACCAACCAACCAACCAACCAACCAACCAACCAACCAGCTAGCTAGCCAACCAGCTCTAGCCAACGACTAGCCTTCCTCTCCTCCTCCTCCTCCTCCTCCTCCTCTTACGCCTCTTAGTCTTTCTCCTTCTCCTCATCCTCCTCCTCCTCCTCCTCCTCCTCTCTTCACCAACCCGTCTTCTTCTCTCTCACTCGACTCATTTTATTCTACGTATAAAAATAGCGATGTGGGTGGCACTCGACTAATCGATCAATCAGGGTTAACGAAACCACCTCGCCGATGAAATAGGATACGAATATGAAAACACAACACAACCTTATTACCTCATTGAATTACGGTTAAAGATTTAATATGATAAAGAGGCAGTGGGAAATGAAAGGAGTGGGAGAAGAGAGAGTAAAAAAGGTGAGGATTGATTAATAATAAACCGAACTTAATCTAAAGGAAGGAAAAATGAAAAAGGAAGGTATTAACGGAAAGATAAAAGGGGATGGAAGGATAGAAGGAGGGGGGGGGGGGAAGAATTAGGGGAGAAAAGAAAAACGTGAAAGAAAAGAAAGGATGAAGAAGTGATGTCTACCTAATATAAAAAGTTATAATAATAAATATACAGCGAGAGAGAGAGAGAGAGAGAGAGAGAGAGAGAGAGAGAGAGAGAGAGAGAGAGAGAGAGAGAGAGAGAGAGAGAGAGAGAGAGAGAGAGAGAGAGAGAGAGAGAGAGAGAGATAGAGAGAGAGAGAAAGAGAGAAAGAGAGAGAGAGAAAGAAGTTAAGTGACCATTACGCATTATGTTATTCACTGTTACTATTGCTACTACTACTATAACTATTATTACTGCTATTTTACTTACTACTACTACTATTACTACTACTACTACTACTACTACCATTACTATTATTACTACTACTACTACTACTATTACTACTACCGCAATTATTGCTTACTATTTCTACTAATACTACCGAAAAAAAAAGCGGTGTTATTTTTATTATTATTATTATTACATTTTTTTTTTTTTTTTTTTTTTTTTTTTGGTTAAAAAAGGAAAAAGAAAAAAAATAAAAATAGCTAGGCACAGTTTGTTTTATATCAGATACCCAGAGAAAGAGAGAGGGAGAGAGAGAAAGTATGAAAGAGAGAGAGTGTGAGAGAGGGTAAGAATGAGAGAGAAAGGGAAAGGGTGAGAGAGTGAGAGAGAGAGAGAGAAAGAGAGAGAAACAGAAATTTGGAAATAATAACAACAAACAGACTTATGAATTATTGAGATTGTGAATCGAACGGATACACAACACACGAGGTGACGTTCTTGATTACCGTTAGACCTAAGCGAAGTAAAAAAAAAAAAAGAAAAGAAAAGGAAAAAAAAAATAAGAAAAAAGAAAAAGCAAAGGGATATATATATATATATATATATATATATATATATATATATATATATTATGATGATAAATGCGCTTCAGGCAAGCAGGCGGTGTGTGCCCCCTCCTCGCAACGTCATACCAAAGAAGCGATTACGAGTTGTTTTTTTTTTCTCTCTTCTTCTTCTTTTTTGTTCTTTTTTTTTTCTATTTTTTTTTTTTTTTGGTGTTTCACTTTGTTAGTGATTGTGAATAAAAAATATGCGTGACGCGCGTCGAGAGTACGCTTTAATAAACTCGTCTCAAGTTCCTTTCGTGAGTAAAAAGACAATGAGAGAATGAGAGAGAGAGAATGATAATGATAATGATAATGATGATAATGATAATGATGATAATGATAATGAGAGTAAGGGATGAGAAAGAGAAAGAGAGTTAAGATACAGGGAGGTGAGGGTGGTTTTTTTTTGTTTTTTTTTTTTTTTTTTTTTTTTTTTTTTAAGGGGGGCCGGAATAGAACGACAACTACTTCGGTCTGTGAATAAGGACAAAATAAAAAGAAAAAGAAAAGTAAAAAAGTAAAAAAAAAAAAAAGAAATGGAAAAGAAAAAATATCATCGACGTCGAAAGGGAATGGGCACGAAATAAGAGGGAAGGCCGACGATGGACAATCTCGAGGACAAAAAAAAAGAATTGTATTACTCTCCCCCCTCCCACCCCCATAAAAAAAAGGAAAAGAAAAGCAGAGAAAAAATAATAGTAACGATAACAATAATAATAATAATAATAATAGTAATAATAATAATAATAATAATAATAATAATATTATTAATAGTAATAATAATAATGATGATGATGATGATGATGATGATGATTAAGCGCGAAAAGATGTTGCAATTAATTCGCGATTAAAAAAAAAAAAAAAAAAAAAAATGAAAAAAAAAGGAAAAAAATGGAAATGAAAAATCCAATCAATCATATATTTTGCGTCGAGTGAAATCCGTCGTCGGTGAGAATGAATGAAAGAAAGAAAGGAAATGGAAATTGAAATGGAAAAAGAAAAAAGAAGGGAAAGAAAAATAGTTGCGTCGCGGCGGGGGAGGACAAACATATATATATATATAATTTACATATATATGTATATATATATAGATTTATATATATATAAATATATATATATATATATATATATATATATATTTATATATATATAGATTTGATTACAAAATGAGATTGGAATTAGAAATGAACAAGAAGAATGGTTAAGCCAGAAAACTTTCAGGGATAGTTATTTTATTGTGAATGTAATAGTGTGTGAGTGTGCGTGTGCCGAGTAATATTATTAATTAATAAGTAATTAATTTTACTGATTAGGGAAAATCCGAAAGATTTTTATAGGCTTATCGAGAGTGAGAGAGAGAGATTGAGAGAGAGAAAGAGAGAGAGAGAGAGAGAGAGAGAGAAAGAAAAGTAAGAAGATATAAGAATATAATCTATATATGAGGAGGGGTTGGGTTTATACGCAACGTGCATATATGCGTATACGTGTATGTATTTATATATACATATATATATTTATTTATATATATTTATATACATGTATATGTATCCTCGCGTCGTTATTATTCGATTAATGGATAAAATAAACGTAGAAAACTACTATAACTAGAGGAGAGATTTAGGCGCGCACGAGTGAGCGTTTTTTGTTGCTTGCTGCGCGTTTTCTATGCTTGACGAAAATACTACGAGCGGTTTTACCCACCTATGGTATGTGTATGTTCACTACAAACTAAAACAAAACAAACAAAAGAAAAAAAAAAAAAAAAAAAAGAGAAAGAAAATCGTCAGTTTGTGAGAGATCCTTAACGTTCACGATTTTTTGATCAACGAGAGAGAGAGAGTGTGAGATATATATATATATATAAATATATATATATGTATAAATAAAACGCCGATACACACCGATAGACGACAGATTTGTTACGTATGTTTCTGTCAATTATTCTCGTTTTCTTTTTTTTCTTTTTTTTTTTTTTTTTTTTTTTTTTTATGTGTAATTTTTTTTTCCCCTCGTATTAACTGCTGTGTGTGTATGGCGTGTGTAATTTCAGGTGTATTTAAAGGGGTTACGTAAATTTATTTATTTATTTATTTTTTTTTTGTTTTTTTTTTTTTTGTTTTTTTCTCTTTAGATGAATTTAGAAAAAGAAAAAAAAAAGAAAGAAAGAAACGCATTAGCAGAGGGAAAAAGAGATCGAAGGAAATCATCGTAACAATAAAAGTTTCATTTTGTTAATCTCGAATCAATTTTTTTTTTTTTTTTTTTTTTTCTTTCCCCCCTTGATAACATTCGATCGAGAATGATTATGTTTATTATTTGTCGTGAATTTTGTGCGACTCGTTTGACAAAGCGATATATATATATGTATATATATGTATATATATGTATATGTATATGTATGTATAGATAACGTTAAAATCTCTACGACTGACGACGATTAAATACGATTTAATGATACTAGTGAAAGAGAAAGACAAAGAGAGAGAGAGACACGAGCAAAAAAGAGAAAGACGAAAAGTAAAGTAAAAAGGATAATGATTAATATTTTCAAAGACACATTTTTGTCGTCTCAATTGCGAGAGATAAAGGAAAAATATATAAGATGATATTAATAATAATTAGAAGGACCGACGTTTGACGAAGAAGAAAAGAGAAATAATTTATAAAGATCGACAATTATATATATATACATATATATATATATACATACATATATATATATATATATATATATATATATATATATATATATATATATAATCGAGAAAAGAAGATAAAAAAAAAGAAAAGAAAAAAAAAGAACAAACAAAGAACAAAAAGAAAAAGGCAAGAAAACGGGAACGGTTTAACTCGGAATATATAAGACCGAACGAACCGTTTTCCAGTTAGGATTTCGAAATTGACCAAAATAATACTAATAACATGGGGAAAACAAAAAACAAAAAAAAAACAAAAAAAAAGAAAGAGAAAAGGTGCATCATCATCGTAATAATTAATAACAATATATAAATGGGATTGACGAATTGTTCGGCTTTGTTTAAAGTGTCGCGAATAAAAGAGAGACAAAAAAAAATGGAGAAGAAGAGATATATATATATATATATATATATATA